GCCGCCCCACGGCCTCTCCGGATCTGGGGTCTCAGGGTGGGCCTTGGAGCAGGGCCTCTTTGTCTGGAAGGAAAAGAGGTCTCTTCCACTACCAGAAGCCCCTTATTGGTGGGCGTGCTGAGGTGCAGACCTGGGAGCTCAAACCCTCTGGTGCACAAAGCAGCGATCCCTGAAGCAAGACCACCCTTCCAGCCTGGAGGGGTGCCCTGGGAGGAGTCGGGAGCCTGGGCACCTGCCCCCACCTGCTGGCACCTCGAGGTGTGGTGAGCCCTCCCTGGGACATGGCCGTGGCCATCCCCAATGTCTGAAAGGGCCACCCCTTCACGACCAAATCACTTGCTCTGAGGGTCCAGGGGAAGGCCCCTCCGCTGGCCTGGCTGAAGGAGCAGCTGCTGGCAGGGAGAGGGGGCCTGCACTTCTCCTCGGGGGTCCCTCGGTGAGTCTCGGTGAGGCAACGGGGTTGAGGGGTGCAGGAGCACCAGGCCGCTGTCCCCAGGGTCCCCCAGATCCCCACACGGGAGGGGGCTGGAGACGGGGACAAGTTCGCGGAAACTGCCGGTGCGTGTCGGGACGAGATGCGCATGCAGGAGCACCCAGAATCCCACCCACGGACTCCAAGCCGCAAAGCACACCCCCGCCCGCCCCCGCGCCCCATCACACACGCGCGCGTGCGGGCACACCCGGGACACACACGCGGCGGGGGAGGGGCACGCAGCCTCTCCCCTTCCACGCCCGCCCGGTCTCCGCCCCTCCGCCGACCCGGGCCCGCGTCGCAGTGGGGGTGGGGGCGGCGGCGGCGGCGCGCGCGGCGGCGCGGAGGGGGAGGGGAGCGGCAGCGGGGGGGAGGGGCGCGGCATCCGCAGCTTGGCCGCCCCCGCAGTTGGGGGCGGGGAAGGACTTAGGTCCTCCCCTCCCACCCCGCTGGAGCCTCCCGCGAGCGCCCCCTGGTGCACCCCACGCCCGGCGTTGGCGGGGGAGCACGAGGAACGCGGAGCCCAGAGCGGGGGCGTGGAGGGGGCGCGGGCGGGGTCCAACTTCCCCGACCCAGGGGCGGGGTGGGGCGCCGGGCGGCGACGGGGAGGGGTCCGCTCCGGGCCGGCGGCGCCATAATCAGGGGCCCGGGGGGCCGGGGATCGGGCTTCCTCCGCCAGCCGCCGGGCCGCGCCCCGGCGCGGCCGCGGCCCCGGACCCGCCGGCGCCCGCCCCCATCGCCGGCGGCTGCCCCGCCCTTCCCGCCCGCCGCCGCGCCCCACCGCCGCTCAGCCCGAAGGTTTGCTGCCGCCGGCGCCGCCGGGGACGGGGCTCGAGGGCTGGCTCCGCTGCCTCACCGGCCCCCGGCCCGCGCCCCGCGCCCCCAGCCCCAGCCTCACCCGTCCGCCCAGCGGCCTCCACGCCGCGCCGGGGCCGCCGCCGTCGCCTCCGCCGGGCAAGCCGGAGCCGGAGTCAAGCCGCAGCCGGGAGCCGAGAGCCGGGCGGGCTGGGGGCGCGGGCCGGGGGCGGAGGCGCTCGGGGCCGGGGCCGGGCGCCGAGCGGGGTCCGCGGTGACTGCGCCGCCCGGGCGATGCCCGCGGGGACGCCGCCGGCCAGCGGAGCGAGGTGAGACGCGGCGAGGACGTGCGCCTGGGACCCTCGTCAACTTGCGCGGAGCCGGCCGGGGAGCCCCTCGGGGTGGGGGTGGGGCCGCCGGAGGGAGGGAGGGGGCGGGCGGGGGCGGGGGGCGCGTTTGTCTCTAATAAGAAAAGACAAAGACATCCCGGCGGCAGCGGCTGTTCCCGCAGCTCCGCGCCGCGGGAGGCAGGGCGGGGGCGTCGCCACCGGCCCCGGGTCACCCCCTGTCCTCCGCAGGTGCTGCCGGCCGCCACCATGACCGAGGGCGCACGGGCCGCCGATGAGGTCCGGGTGCCCCTGGGCGCGCCGCCCCCTGGTCCTGCGGCGGCTGTGGGGGCGTCCCCGGAGAGCCCCGGGGTGCCGGGACGCGAGGCGGAGCAGGGTTCCGAGCCCGGCGTGTCGCCCCCCGAGAGCCCGGCGGCCGAGCGCGGCGCGGAGCTGGGCGCCGACGAGGAGCAGCGCGTCCCGTACCCGGCCCTGGCGGCCACGGTCTTCTTCTGCCTCGGGCAGACCACGCGGCCGCGCAGCTGGTGTCTCCGGCTGGTCTGCAACCCATATCCTTCCCGGCCGGCGGGGGGCGGGGGGCGTGGGGAGGGCGGGGGTCCGGGGCGCGGGACTCCCTCGGCGTGCGCCCCCGCGCGCCCATGTTGGTGGGACCTGGCGTGGGCCGGGCGCGCGGGGGCGCAGGGCAGGGCCGCGAGGTCGGCGTTCTTCTTTCCGAGAGTGGCGGGCGTGGGGGGCCACCGGGCGCCTCCGGACTCCCTTCCCCAGGGCCGGCTCCGGACGGAGAAGGTGGAAGCGAAGCGGCGAGGCCACCGCGGGCTTGGTGGGGAGAGGAGTCGGGGAGGGAGTAACTCTTCGCGCCCCCAAGAGTGTTGGCCAGGACGGGAATTTCCCCCTGGCTGTCTGAACGTCCTGCCCGAGGCAGGCCCCTCGCGGGGGAGGGGGAGGCCAGAGGAGCTGGAGTCAGGGGCGCAAAGTTTTCAGCTGGCGCCTGGTGGTTCCGAGTGCGTGGGGAGACCCGTGGGGCCTGTGAACGCTGCCAGGCCCTTTTCCATGGAGGGAGGCGGTGACGTTGGTTGTGAACTCGCTTTTTCTGGCTGAACTCGGTGGCGGGGCTGATTTAAGTCATGCGCAGCTTAAGGGTGGGGGGCAGGGAGGCAACTGGCACTGCCCAGGGGGAGTCCCTTCTCCCCAGCCCCTTCCCTGGCTGGAGAGGAAGGGGCAGCCCCTTTTACTCTTGGCGAGAGCGGCACAGACTTACAGCGAAGGTTCCAGAACAGAGTTGGGTCAGGGCCAGTGGCATTTCTGGGATGTACACGGAGGTCCGGGGGGCCCTCCAGCAGGTGACCTTATCGGCCGGTCTCCGCACACCCTGAGAAGTGCCTTACCCGGTGCCTGTGTCAGGGCTGGGTCTCCCCACCGGCCCTCTGAGGTGGCAGTTGGGGTGGCCAGGTTGTGGCTGCTGCTCTGGGCCTGGGGATGGGTGGTGGGCGGCCTAGGGCAGGGTTCACACCGTGCCCGCAGACATCCCCCGTCCGAGGTGGGGAGACAGGCTGGCAGCAGGAGCGGCCTGTGTATACTTCCCTACTTTGTGTGTTTAACTGTACAAATATTAAACATAAAAGAGGAATCAGTACGAAAAAAGTCATAAAGCCCGTGTTTCTGCTTTCTCAAATCTAAACATGGAGTGAGTCAGACTCATCTCTGCTTGTAGAGGAAGAGGAGGCCGCCGTGGTCCCGGGGGCAGCCAGCCCCGGCCAGAGGGTTGCCTCGGAGCCCCACACCCGCTGCCCTGGTGGCCTTGGCCTCCGTTGCCCGAGGGTGATGTCTTCGGGTAGGTGGGTGTCCCCGGGAGCCAAGCTTCAGGCCTGGCCTTGAGGGGCAGTTGTAGGTTTGTCTCGTCTCTAGAACCAAAGTGGGAGGTGGCTATGCCCCTTTGTTCTGGTGGAGGGTGTCCAGGTGTGGAGTCAGTCCGGCGGTGCCGGCAGGCTGTGGGGAAGGGGCTAGAAGGCGCTGCATGGGTTGGGACGGGAGGCTGGCGCCGAGCCAAGGCCTGCGTTCCTTGTTTCCAAATGTGTGCAGACCAGAGAGGGGAAAGCACCAAGCAGGGCCTGGACTCTGCTCACAGCCCCGGGCCTGGCTGCCCGTTCCCAAGCAGGGCCTGGATTCTCTTCACAGCCCGGGCCTGGCTACCCCGTCCCCAGGCAGGGCCTGGCTGTCCTGTGCCCTCTCGGCCGAGAGAGTTTTAGAGCCTGGCCCTGGTGTTCTGGGCTGGCTGTGTCCCTCAGGGCTTCCAAGGAGGTTTGCGTTGCTTTGTGCAGGGAAGGTGTTGACTGGGTGGCCTCACGCAGGTGGGATGAGCCCTCCAGGGGGAGATGAGGGCTGGGGGCCAGAGGCATCACGTGACCCAGGCCCTGTCCCCGGGCATCCTGAGGTGCTGTCCTCGTGGGCTTTGTAATCTGACAGGAGGATGCTCTGGTAGCCCGAGAAGGACTTGGGCGCTGTCCTGGTCTTGGGGGCTGCGTGGTGCTTTCAGTCTGGGAAGAGTAGAGTGTGCCCCATCCCTGGTGTTCCCAGGGCTCCCCGGACTGGGAGAAGGCGGCCGGTCGGCCTCTGGTCCTTCAGTGGCATCCCTGGCTTGGAGCACTGGGTCTGCCTGCAGTATGGTAGGAGCCCCACCCTCCTCACTGCCAGCACCTCCCAGCCCCAAACCCAGTGACGTGGGGTGTCCCCAGTGCCCTCCGCTCCCGGAGACGTGGGAAGCGGAGCTGAGACCCCAGGCTTGGTTCGTTCTTGGCCCCGTGGAAATGCCCATTGGTCAGGTGGAGTGGGCTTGTGGAGGCCTCTGCTCTGTGGCAGTGGGTGTGACCGCCAGCAGATGCCTGGCCTGGAGCGAGGGTGTGTGTCTTGGCCTCAGAGAGAACCTAAAATAAGCTGGCAGGCCTGGACAGGTGGGGGATTGGCTGAGCCGGGGAAGCCCGTGTGGGCCGCGGCTGAGGCTTTCCAGAGCTCTTCGGATTCCTGGGAATTGGGAGGGGGCGGCTTTGCAGGAGGTGGAGGGGCGGTGGGCGGCTGGCGTGGCCGGGGCGTGTCCTGTAGCAAGAGGGTGCTTCCTGGGCCTCAGCCTCCCCTCCGCAGGGCCCCACATCCCTCCTGAAGAGGGTGAACTTGAGAGGGAGGGCTAATCGGATTTGCCCAGGGAGCCCACACTCAGGAAGACGACTCCGTGCTCCCTGGGGGTTGGCAGTGTCCCAGCTGCTGTCCGCCGGGCCCAGCCTGAGCCGGGGTTCAGTCAGCACAGGAACCTGGGGGAGGGCCCGCATTTATCCCTGAACCTTTCCGGAACCCCCAGGTAGACACCCAGCACCAGGGAACCCGTGCGAGCCGGCTCTGTCTCCAGGGTGACTCCATCCCAGGCAAAGGAGCCTCTGAGGACGGCCCTTATCTTTATTGATTGGTTTCTTAAAAATATAATTGTCTTAGAACTTTTGGGGCGAGTGCTGTTTCTCCTCCACAGGTTTATTTATAGAGGAAGGTGGGTGGGATCTGTGTGTTGTCGCCCGGCTGGGCTGTGTGCTGCCCGGGCTCCCAGGGTTCCTGACTCTGCGTTCGCCTGCGACACAGCTGCCACCGTCCCGGCGCACGGGCGGGCGGGGCGGGGTGGGGCCCCCGGGAATGCTTGGAGGCCAGGAAGGGGGACCCTGCCTCAGTCCCTGCGAGTGCGAGGGAGGCGGGCTGTGGGTGTGTAGGGACCAGAAGGTGACCAAGGGGTGCTTGGGGGCTTGGGGATGGCAGGACGCTCTGGGAGGCGTCTCCTAGGGCCCAGGCTCCAAACATCCTGTGTCACGGAGCTCTGAGATGGAGAAGGATACATCAAGGTCATCAGGATGCTGAAGGGCAGAGCTGGGTGAGCCCATCTTGGCTCTGAGGGCCACGTGCTTGGCACAGCCCTGCCCGGGTGGGGACGAGCTGCAGGAGCCTGAGACAGCCCTTCACGGCATTTCTGAACACTCGGCACTTGGGCTGTCACGCTACTCCACGGGCGTCCCCCGGGAGTGCGAGAGAGCACCCGTCTGGAAAGGGCTGGTCCCGCCCGCACCCGCCTCCCCGGGCTCCACGTGCCCCGCAGGCCCTGCGTGGGCAGGACGGGGCTGGTCGTCCTCTACTGACCTTGCATCGTGGTACTCTCTTGAACACTGTGTCTCAGCAGCGTCTGGATATCTGAACTGGTTTCAGAGGGGCTGCCTCAGTGGTCGGAAGTCACAGGCCCAGGAGGCCCCAGAACCATCCCGTGACCCCGAGCCTGAGCTCCGAGCTGGGGGTCTCTCAGGAGGGTGGGACTCAGCAGAGGGTCCGTCACAGGCCAGATGTCTCCCTTCTGCCTGGGTGGACCAGGGCGTGAACTCGGTGGTTGCACCCGACCCATGGCCTGGCTTCTCTTGGCCGTGCTAGGGCGCAGTGTCTCCCGGGGACCCTGGGTTGCCCGTCTCTTGGCCCTGGCGCCCTTGCCCACGTTCTGACAGGAAGGAGAGTTGCAGGAATGGGTCTGCTAGTCTCTGAAGCCACCGACTGGCATCGCAGTGTTCGTGGGGTAGGTGTGGATTCCCACCGAGCCCTACGGCCTGCCCACGACGCGGCTGGATGTGTCCCTGCCTCCTGGGCTGGTGTAGGGTGGGAGAGGCTGCCTCCCCACCCCCACGGTTGATCCTGTGAAGAAGCAGAGACACAGATGGGGCTGAGACGGGAGCGTTGCAGGGCTCGGGGGAGGGGCCTCCCCACCCACCGAGAGCTGGGGGAGCCGTGGGGGCAGCTTATCCTTCCCAGGGTGGTGGGAAGAGGCCCCTGGGGATGGCGGCAGGGTAGGGGTCTGCCGAGCGCCTGTTGGGGTCATTCCCTCCGCTTCGTGGAAGCATCGGGGCCACGCGCCCCCTGGGACGTCATCTTGTTCCTGCCAGGAAGTGGGCGTGATGCCAGCAGGCTGAGCTCACCCTCCGGGTCGGGGCTACCCCGCTGGACTCAGGACTCAGGCCCCACTGGGGAGGAGGGAGTAGATGGAGCCCAGAGCAGGCCGGGCCCTGGCAGGGACCGTGGGCCTCCCAGACCTGCTGCTGCAGCTGGCGCTGGTGGGGATGTGACCTTGGGGCTCCTGGGAACAAGTTTGCTGAGAGCTCTGGTTCCTGAACCACTCCTGCCGTGCCGCACCCCCAGTCCCTAAGGCTCCCGCTCAGCCCGCACCCCCGGGACCGGGCAGGGGTCTCGGCTTTCACTGTTCTTCTGGCTCCCGGATTCTTCATCACTGGGATCGCCCTTGGCGTTGACTGACCTCAGGGCCCCTGTTCGCCCGCCTGGGGCACTTCAGGGTGGACGGAGTCCCTGAGCGCGGCCTTCAACCTCTGGCGGGGGGACTTGGGGAGCGGTGCAGAGTGGGGACAGCCTCTGATTGCCTCGGCAAATGTCTCGTAGTCAGGCCCCCACAGAGTGCACGGGTGTCTGTAACCTGGGGTAGAGCGAGGCTGGCCTGAGCCCTGTGAGCAAGGCAGGCAGGGGCCCCTCGGACGGTGGGGTGGGCCAGACTCAGGAGCCTGCGTGGGAGGAGGCGTTCGGACTGAGACCTGGATGGGGCGCGCCGAGGGAAGAGTATCCAGGCAGGGGGACGGTGCAGGCCCTGAGGTGGGGGGTGTCTGTATAGCAGATGGGAGGGGGGGCAAGGAGCACGGCGGGCCGTGGGGAGGAGATCTGGGCACGTGGCGGTGGCACACCAGCGTGGCGACCTGGGCCCTGAGCCTGCCCCCGGGAGCTTGTGGGCTGTGAGGAGGCAGAGTGACGGTGGGGACCAGCAGGTGGGCTGGCCTGGGGGCCCGGGGCTCACCTCTGCCTCTAGCTGGCTTCGCAACTGCTCCTTAGGGAGGGCAGGCCTGGGGCCAGGCTTAGCGGGAAGTCGAGGCGAGAGACAAGGCTGGAAGGGCAGGTGAGGGCTGCGCAGGGACGGAGGCTGGGAGTGGGGAGTGCTGGTGTCCCACACCCTCAGGCCTAGAGGGCATGGCTGCTGCCAGCCCCTAAAGGAGGCTGTTGGGCTTGTGGGCATCACGCTCCGAGCACCCGAACTTCGTTCTGACTGGGGCCGGCGGCGGGCGCCCTCCCTGGCCCGGTGGAGCCCTCGGGGTGGTTCTGTGTGCTCCCCTCAGTTCCCCCGAGGGCTGAGAGCCGAGGGCGATGCGGCCCCACCAGGCCGGGCTCCCGGAGCTGCAGAAGAGACGTTCCGTTCCAGGGTCGGGACCGGAGGAATGCGGGGGAGGGGCCGGCCTGTCAAACACTCCGGGGATGGATCCACAGCAGCTCTGCTGGCTGGGTCCAAGCCACGGTCACACAGTCAAGGTCAGACGAGGAACGTGTTACCTTTGTTTATGCAGATGTCGGACAGGCCGTCCGTCCAGCCGCCTGTGCCGAGCCCGCTGTGGGAAGGGCAGGGACCGTCCCTGCCCGCCCCCGCGAGTGGGCATTCCCCTCCCTGGCACGGAAGAGGAGTCTTCCCTCTCCTCAGTGGTTCATGTTGGCGTAACTTGGAACAAGTCTAAGTCGCGCAGGCCCAGGTTGAATTTCCAGGCTGGAGATTAAAGACCGGCCGCGCACCCTGGGCAGAAACAAGGGGTGAAATCAGCCGGTCGCGCCCTGAGTGGTGACGTGCAGCCCCGCCTCGGTCGGAGGTGGTGGGGGCGGGGCTCGGGGAAGGAGCTCTGCTGGCTCTCAGCCCCTGCCCAGCTCAGGAGAGCTGGCAGCAGGTCCGGGCACCGTCCCCAGAGCGCTGTGCCCGCCGAGGATGACAGATGGGGACCGAGTAGCAGCTTGCCGTGGTGCAGGGGGTGTGCCGCCACGTGGCCGCTGGTGTCCCTGGCCTCCACACACACTCCTTGTGGGGCGGAGGTGGGCCCAGGCTGACGGGAGAAGCGGCCGTTGGCGGGGCGTGAGCGCCCCAGGGTTTGATGAGCCCGAGGGTTGATGAATGTGCTCAGTGAGGCTTCCTTTGTCCTCTGGCTGCCGCCTGGGTGCTTGCCGGAGCGGAGCTGTGGGCAGAGAGAGCCTTGGGTGGGTGTGGCCGCCGCCTGCCTTCGGAGGCCCAGTGCAGCATCGACCCGGGAGGCCAGAGCCCCCCATCCTCGGGTGCGTGGCCGGCGAGGACCAAGGCGTTAGCCCAGTGCGGCCCCCACCCGGCCTCGGTGCAGCCCTGGGCTCTTTGCCCCAGTTGCGAGCAGGGCTGGCAGGGAGCGCGCCCGGAGGCCCCCACGCTGCCTGAGGGTGAAGAGGCTCCTCTGACTCGCGAGGGGTGTAGACCTGACGCAGGTGGACCCCCAGCCCCGCTTCGATGTCTGCGGACCTGGCTCCCGCAGAAAAGGCCTTCGGCGAGACCTCAGCCTCGGCTGGCCCCGCTGGACTCTGACCCTGGGCTGCTGGTGCTGTGGGTGCTTCTGCCGCTGGCGACTGATGGGAGCAAAGCTGTTCCCCTGTGGATGGACTGTTAGGTGACACAGGATGTTGGCATTAGTGAATGCCGTCACTGAGCCGGTGGCAGAGGTGGGGGCAAGGCCAGGGATCTGGGTACAGAATGGTCTTGGATAGCAGAGAAAGTGCGCGAAGTGGGGTGGGCACAGACCACATCCAAGACCTTGGGCCTTAGCAGGGGTGTGCCCAGCGGGGGTGGGGGACTCCTGGTCACTGTCTGTCCCATCTGTCCCACCTGGGTTCTGCCTGTCCCTGAGGGCAGGTTCCAGGTGGAGTCCGAACCAGGGGGAGAGCTTGGAGCCCCGCGCAGGGAGCCCGCGCTGCTGTTGACCCCCGGGCTGCCCTGTGTTCTCGTCCCTTGTCCCCTGCCCAGCTGTCTGCACCTGGTGGCCGTCGCTAGGCCCCTCACTGGCCTGAGGACTGAGGTGGGGACATCCTGAGTCCTTTTGGACAAGGTGTTTTTTAGTAGTCCTGGATGTTAAAGACTCAGCCTCAGTTGGGTGGAGCCTCTTGGGATTCTGGGGTCTCCTTGGGCACAGGAGGGGGGTTAGCAACTCCTACTAGCCTGGGCAGTGCCTTCACGTGTGCCTCAGTTTCCCTGTCACACCGCCTTGGTCTGCCATCTCGGTCACTGATGGAGTGAGGCTCCCACCAGACCGGGTGGGAGAAGGGGCCAGATGCGGTCCTGGGAGAGAGGCTGTCGGCCCCGTCCAGTCAGTGAGTGGCCAGTGTGGTGGCTGATGGGGGACAGACCCCTGGCCAGGCCCCACGCCAGCCTTGTCCCCATCTCTGAGCAGCCCCTGGGCATCCTGGGTCCCCTCGCCGCAGCCTGCCTGTGGGGTGGGCCTGTGGGGCCGGCCTGGTCGGATGCATTAATGGTGGCTCGGGGCAGATCTTTCTACAAGGCAGCAGAGCCGTCGCGGTGGGCCAGGCTGTGTCCTGTGAAGTCCGCAGTGGGCTGGCAGAGGTGGGCACCGAGGCCCCTGCTCCGGACCCTGTTGGAGTCCTGTCACCTCCTGGCTGTTGGTTTTCTCATCTGTGAGATGGGCCTGCTGCCCGCATGGCCTCTGGGTGTGTGGCAGGGACTCCTCATCTCTACTCAGTCTCCAGCGTGGTGCGGGACACGGGATCCTATCGGCCCCATGACCCCTCGCCCTGGGCCTCCAGCCTCCAGAGCCCCAAGAGGCCGTTGCTGTCTCAGGCCCCTACCTGTGGCACTCTGTTACAGTTGCCTGCAGCCGGGATGCCCCAATCCGCCCTCACAGCTGCGAGCAGGGGTGCAGGTGTCCAGGGAGGCCCCCAGCACCTGCTTGGCCCCTTCCCTGCCTCTCCTGCGGCCCCCCCGGAGGGAGGAGAATGGCCCATGAGCAGGACGTGCTTGACGCAGTAACAGGAGTCAGCCCCTTTCAGGATAAATTGCAATTGGTCGCCCACTGCGTCAGGTTCCTGCGATGCGGAGCAGCCCCCGGAGACAGGGTGCTTGGCCGTGAAGTGGGTCATTCGGAGCCTCGGTCGGCGCGGGGGCCGGTGTTGAGCTTGTGTGTCTGTGCCCTGGTTAGAAGCTGCCCCGCACGGCCGGCTCCTGCGGACACCTGCCGTAGGGGAGTCCGTCTAGGAGGAGCCGAGTGTCTTGGGACCCTGTGAAGGAGTCTGGGGGGCCGCGCTCGGCTCTGGTGAGCGGGGAACAAGATGGATGAGACCCGGGCCCACTGACGCCGGGAGGGCCGCGTCCGAGCTCGGGGACTGTCCACCAGGGCTGTGGCGTGAAGGCCGAGGGGGTGTGAGCAGGGGTGGGATGGTCCCAGGTGGCTGGAAACAGCTGTGGCCAGGTGGGCGCGCAGTGGTCGGTGGCCTGTGGCCCCTGGAGCACCTCTTTTCATGGCCACTCCATGGGTGCCTGTCCCTGTGGCCACGCGGAGCTGTCTTTGGCTCCAGCCACAAAGGCTGTGGGGGCACAGTGGCTGGTGTTCCTGCCTCCCTGGACCTTGGGCTCCTCTGACCTTGTGCTTGCTGTGTATTCCTCGCTTGTCACCCAGCCTATCTGTTGTGGGCAGGTGAGGCAGCCTGCAGAAAGAGGTAAGTGTGGGCCAGTCTGCTCTGGGGGGCTGACCCTGTGTCTGGAGAGGCCACAGCCACCTCCACCAGCTCTGCCATGGACCTCGAGGCTTGAGACTGCGCCCTGGTGCCCGTCTGCAGGGCGGCGGGGGTGGCCTCGGCCCAGTAGGGCCAGGTGAGCATCAGGGATGTTGAGTGGGGTCCAGGTGGAGCAGGGCCTGGGAGGCAGGCGGTGGGGCATGGTGTGGAGCTGTGAGTCTCCGCATGCGCCTCGTGCTCTCGGAAGGGGGTGCTGGTCTGGCCTGGGAGTGTCCAGGGAGCAGCCGGCCTGTGCCCAGCCCCTTCTGAAGCTCCAGCCACACACAGCCCAGCCTGCCACAGAGGGGAACCTGCGTCCAGATGCCCAGAGAGTGGCCACGGCCTGCCGGGAAGGTGTGGAGGGGCAAGGGTATCTCTCAGAGCCACACACAGGGTCCGTGCCCCGGCCTTTGCAGGCAGCCGCCAGCCCTGGCTGTGGTCTGATGAGTCAGCCTACATTAGCGCCTCATTAAAATGGACGGGAACTTGTCCCGGGCTGCTGGGGGAAGCTGGCCGCTGTCTCTGAGGATCGCTCAGGTTACTGCCTTGGCTGGTAGCTGGGACAACACTCGCCCAAGCCCACTGGGCCACGGGCTCTCGTGCCAGTGCTGACCTCATGCTTGGGTGACCTCCTGCAGGTGCTGGGGTGAGAGGCCTGGGGACGCCACCTCCTCTCCCTGGGAAGCCTGGTCATTGCAATGAGAAGTTGGGCTGTGTGGCGGCCACCTCGAGGGCCAGGTCTGAGGACCCTCCTGCCTGCGACTCAGTGGCTCAGCTTTTTGCTTAGTGAGGAGGGGAGAGGCTGTGTCTGGCTCAGCTACCCTGCCCCAGGCTCAGCTACCCGTGGCCCAGGCGAGGAGCAGCCAATGGGCGCCCGCTGGGGTGTGAGGTTGCGTGGCCGCTGGCTGGGCATGGAGGCCGGCACAGCCGTGGGGGCACGTCTGCCTCCTGTGGAAGCTACACAAGCAAGGGCCCTGGGCCTGAGTCCCTGACTGAAAATCCAGGATGCTCATTCAGTTACATTTGGGTTTCAGGTGAGTGATAATGTTTCAGGGTGAGGGGCGTCCCTGCAGTGTTGGAGACGGACAGCAGCGTCCTCAACTGCAGGGGTGCGGTCCAAGGCCCCCAGGGATGCCCGAAGCCTCAGATCCAGTGAGCCGTGTCCTGTACGTATTGTTTCTTCTTCTTTTTTTTTTTTTTTTTTTTTTTTTTTTTTTTTTTTTTTTGAGACGAGGTCTTGCTCTGTCACCCAGGCTGGAGTGTAGTGGCCGGATCTCAGCTCACTGCAAGCTCCTCCTCTCGGGTTCACGCCATTCTCCTGCCTTAGCCTCCCGAGTAGCTGGGACTACAGGCACCCGCCACTTCGCCCGGCTAGTTTTTTGTATTTTTTAGTAGAGACGGGGTTTCACCGTATTAGCCAGGATGGTCTCGATCTCCTGACCTCATGATCCGCCCGTCTCGGCCTCCCAAAGTGCTGGGATTACAGGCTTGAGCCACCGCGCCCAGCCACGCATTGTTTCTTCTTTACGTTTTTGAGGCAAGGTCTCACTCCGTCACCCAGGCTGAGCGTGGTGGTGCAGTCACACCTCACTGCAGCCTCGATCTCACATGTTTAGATGACTCTTATGCCTCAGCTTCCCCGAGTGCTGGGATTACAGGTGTGAGCCGCCACGCCAGGCCTCATACTCTGTTTTTTTCAGCCTGATAACGGAGATGGCTGCTAAGTGGCCATCAGGTGGGCGGTGGCCCACAACTCGGGTCCGCTGAGCACGGGCGATTCGGACCCCTGGCAGTGCCGAGCGCGGCTACACCAGGCTCATGGCTGTACAGAACGGGGCACAGTTAAAACCTGGGAGTGAGGTCTGCCCGTCAGAGACCCTTTGGATCTCCCTTCTGTGAGACCTTGGTCCTCAAGCCCCGCGGAGGGGCTCGTGGGGTCCTGTCGGTGGAGCTGGGGTCTGGTGGTGCTGCCCTCACTGACCGGGCTCAGGATATGCTGTTCGGGGTGGAGGGCGGCTGTTCACAGCCCTGGGGTCTGGAGGAGGTGTGGGTGAGCCCGTGGCCCCGTTTGGGTTTTGGGGGGTGGGTCGAGTCACCCCTTTTGCTGGTCCCTGGCTTGGCAGATGTGTTTTTTCCCTTGGGTGCAGCAGGCGGGGCCCGTTGGTCCAGCATGGGCTGACCTCAGGACGGTTTGGCTCCGTGGGGTTCTGGGGCGTGAAGGACACCCGTGCGGGGGCGGGAACAGTGGCACTGACGTGACCGGGCAAGGAGGGGGCTGGTGGGGCAGGAGGAGCAGAGAAAGTGCTGGCGTGTCTGGGGCCCAGAAGTGGGTGGGGATGCGGCAGGCACCGGCAGACAACTGTGGCGCAGTTGCTGGGGAGATGAGGGGAAGAGCAGGGAGCGCACGAGGCACAGGCCCCATTGGAGGAACATTCTAGAAGCCAGATGTAGCATCACAGGAATGGCTCCAGCAGGCCTGAGGGCAAAGGCTCAGAGGCAGCAGACCCGGACCACAGTTGGTGTGTTTGAAAGCCCGGCCTGCCGGTCCTCCCGGGCCACACACTCGTGATGGCACAGAGCTTTTGTTTTCTAACCTTCCGTGGAAATCTGGGTCACTCACGTGCGAAGGATGAGGCTGATGGTCTCAGGGAGCTGCTCGGCCACATGGGCCGAGCCCCCGTCCAGCACGCTCACAGCCGGGTGGAGAGAGAAGCGCCCGGGCTGCCCCCACCTGGGCTCTGGTGCATCCAGACAAGGGGGTTCAGGCAGCACAAACCAGCCCAGAGCTGAGGTGCCCTCCCTTTTCCCCGCCTGTCCCCCTGAGGCTGTTGCCAGGTGACTGCACACGGGGGACACCCCTCCTGAGGCTGTAGAGGGGCTGCCTCCCACCCCCGCCCCAGCTCGCAGTGCAGGTGGCTCACCCACCACCCAGGGTTTCCTTCCTCTCCAGGAGATGGGGGTCTGGGAGCTGGTTCCCCTGGAGAGAGGGGTGGGTCCTGTGGCCCCTGCTTGGGTGGCGTCTGGGGCCTGGCCCGGCCGTGTGGGGCAAGAGTGGCGGCCATACCGGCCCGTGCGTGTTGTCATTGTGGTGCCTCTTTCTGGGCTGAGGCCCCTTCTCGGTCCTCCTTGTGCTGCTGGCGCCGTAGGGGACGCGTTCCCGTTTGTGAGTTGGAACTGGGTGACTCTGAGAGCTGATGCTGAGATTTCTTGTTTGTGTTTTCTCACTCAGACTCGGACAATGGTGAGGCCTAGGGAAGGGGCAGGCAGGCCTGAGAGGACGGTGGGTGTTGGGGTGAGGGTGCCTCTTGCCCCCGGGGGCAGGCAGAGTGTCCACGAGGGAGTCCTTTGCGTCCAGAGTGGGGTCTTCGCTGGCTGCTCCATTCCTCTCTGTGGGGAGTGGAAGACAGGAGCTCCCTGTGGCTCAGACCCTGCTCAGCTCCATGGCTCCAGGGCCGAGTAACGGTGCCCCAAATCCCGACCCCTGCCTTCCTCTCAGGTCTGCCCAGGAGGAGGCCGAGGCTAGAGGGCCCTCCGGCTGGCCCAGCACCCGCTCGTTCCTGTTGTTGGTCTTTTCCCAGTGGTACTGAGAAGTAATTTATCCACCACCTAACTCGCCGGTAAAGGGTCCAATTCGGTCGTTCTTCCTGTGTTCTCGGGGTGGCACAGCCCCAGCAGCGATGGGCTCCAGAAGGCTTTCTTCGCCCGAGAGGACACCCTGCGGTGAGCTGTCTCGGCGTCTCCCGCTGGCCTTTTCCATCTCCAAGGTTGGCCTGTTCTGGACGTTTCCTGTATATGGAATCCCGCGCGGTGTGACTCCTGTGCCGGCTTCTCGTGAGCTTTGTGCAGGCTGGTCGTCCATCCTCGCCACAGCGGCAGAGCCCTGACCCTTCCGCAGTTAGACGTGCCCTTACGTAGACGGGCTGCAGTGTTTATCTCTTCACTGGTGGATGTCCGGGCCGTTTCGCTCTTTGCTGCTCTTCACGGCGCTGCCGGGACGTCCCTGCTCCAGGTTCTGGGGAAACCCTGGCTTTTCACGTCTCTTGGACATAAATCTGGGAGCGGAATTGCTGGGTCAGGCGGGAACAGTGTTCGGTCCTCGGAGGAATGGCCAGGCTGTTTTCCAAAGCTGTGCCCTCCTGTTGACCCATCTCTCACCCCCAGCTTTGGGGTCCCCGAGCGGTGGTTCTGCAGCCGTGACACCCAGCCCGAGTCCAGGGCTGTGGGCAGTGGGCACAGCCCTTCCTTTCCTTGCTGACCTATCGGGGAATGGCAGCCCCTGACCTGCCCAGTGGGGATGAAACGGGGTCTTTGTGGGGGGCCTGTGGAGTTTGGGCTTCCTGTCAACAGCCTGTCCCAGTGGGCGGGCCTTGCCCGCTGCCCCGTGAATGTCAGGAACCTTGGAGTCCTGACGCATGGGGGTGCGGGGGCGATACCGGCACGGAGCGGGCGGGGTGGCGCCCGGGCCGCGGGTGGGAGAATCTGGCGTGTGTGTTTGCACGGCATCCATCCCTCCATCCGTCCTCTGGAGAATTTCAACACCCACACTTGCAATAAAAAAAAAAAAAATTATTAATGAGCTTGGTGCGGTTGCCATGGGAACCTGTTGCTAATGAATCTCTGGGGTTTCCTGTTACCTTTGCCGAGCCTAGGAAGGCTGGAGCCGCGCTCCTCACCACGGCAGTGCCACTAATGGGGTTGCCGTGGCAACGCCTGTCACTAATCCCCAGCTGCTCCTGGTTGACCGGACCGGTCTGTGTTACATAAAGCGGTTTGGGCCATGTAGGCCGCCTCCCGGCTAGAGACCCCGAGACCCCTCCCTTGCTCCCTGAAAGGGGCCCACCCCTCCTCCGGGGACACACCGAGACACGGGAAATGGGACACCTGGAGCTGCGGCGCTGGCGTGTGCTTAGAAAGTGCACCTGCAAGGCTGGGGCGTGGCCTGGCCGTCCGTCCACGGGGCCCGGGCTGCCCATGGCCGCAGGTGCCCAGTAAGGACTCGCCTCCCCGGTGTGTGGAGCGCGTGGGGCCTCGGGAACCAGGCCTGTTCCCCGGGGCTGCCTGGAGGCGGCCGCTTGTCCCCAAGGCCTGGCGTCCGCACGTCTGTCTGCCCTAGGCCTTCGAATTGGGGGATATTTTGTAAGGAGCCCCTGTGCTTGGGCCAGAGATGTTTTCGGGGGGGGGGGTTCCTGTACCCGGAGAGGTGAACCAGAATTCCCCTGGGGCATGGTGTTGGGAGACCAGGGCGGCCTCTGGTGCCCCCGACCCCTCCAGCTGGGGCGGTTCATGGGGGACCCCACCGGTGACAGTCTCTGCCCAGCTCACCCCGATGAACCCACCATGTCCCGTCTGTTTGGACGCTGGCCATCCAGCTACCCCCGTCTCCTCCCTCCCAGGGCCTGGACATCTGAGGCCTGCAGTCCCCGAAGCAGGAAGGTCTGAAGCTGGTGGAGTCCATGCAGTCCGACCACCCACCCTGGGGCGTGGTTCTAGGATGAGGCCAATGATGTGGGGAGGCTCCTGGGTGGGCGGGGAGGCTGCTGGACTTGTGATTGTGGCTTCTGCATGGGCCGCTCTGGGGGACCCTCCAGCTGCCCTGCCGGGTGCACAGGTCACCCCAGAGCTGGGGAGATGCACCCTGCAGGCAGGGAGGGCTCCCTGGAGGTGGTGGCAGGTGGGGTCAAGGTAGGGAGGGTGACGGCCCAGTGTGTCTGGTGGTCCTCAGTGCCCCCGAGTCCCTCATGCATCATGCCGGCTGAGTTGGCCGTGCGTCAGGAGCCTGCTGGGCCCCCACTCATTGCTCTCCAGACCATTCCAGAGTCCCAGGGCACCATGCCCCACTCTGGGTGCTTGTCCTAGGAGGATCGTGGCGCCTCCCACCCCAGCCTTGCCCTCCAGGCCTCCCCTGGAGCCTGAGGTCCGAGGAGCAGTGAGTCTGTCTGCCTCGGGCACTCCCTCCTCCTCAGCCTGCTTCCCACTTTAGGGGCCGCAGGGGGTGACCCGCTCTGAAATACCCTGGCCCGTGAGCCTCTAGGAGGTGGGCTGGGCACGCCCCTGCCCATCTGGGGTGAGTCTGGCCACAGTGGAGTCTCGGGTGACGCCAGGGGGTTTTGTCTGCCAGGGTTCCGAGTGCGTGGGCTCGGGTGCTCCATAAGCGCGCAGCCTCGGCAGCAGGAGATGGAGGGAGGGAAGGTTCTGGACCATT